TCCAGGATCAGCGCAGAGCTCCAGCTGGAGCCTGGCGCTGATCCTGGCGCTTCCACTGAGCCCTGACAGCCCCAAAGAAGCGCCGATCAGCTGGAAAGCGGCACTGATCCTGGTGCTTCCGCTGAGCCCTGACAGCCCTGCAGCTCCAGCCATTTCTCGCTCAGGCTTCTGCGGTGCTGCCACCAGTTCAGCTCATTCCCCTCCCCTGCTACCACTTTTCTAGGATGGTCACGTATCACCTGCCTAGTGCCAATGTACCACAGGTGATACCCGTACCACTGGTTGAAAAGCCCTCCTTTAGCAGACATGTAAATGAATTTGCTATGGGACTAGCCAAGCTTCTATCCCAATGTTTCTCAACCTCAGCAACTTTAAGCTGTGTGGACTTCAACTCCTAGAATTCCCCAGCTAGTGTGAAGAATTCTGGGAGTTCAAGTCCACGCAGCTTAAAGTTGCTGAGATTTTAAAATCCTGTTGTATCCACTAGGTTAGAGAAATCTTTGAGAAAGGGTAAGACCAGATCCTTAGAGGAGGGGAATGCCTGTGGACCTACCTGTCAACTACCTTGACGTTAATACCTGAGAGAGTTCTAGAGCTGATCCTAGCACAATTTATCTATCAGCACTGTGAAAACAATGTGGTGATTTTCAGAAGTCAGCATGGATTTGTCAAGAACAAGTCTTGACAGATTAATTGTCTTTCTTTTTTTTTTTGATTGAGTATCTCCCTGAGTAGATAGTGGGGTTGTCGTGAGCGTAATATATCATGACTTCAATAAAGCATTTGACAAAGTACCCCATGACATTCTTAGCAAGATAATTAAGTGGGGTTTGAGTGGCATGACAATTATGTAGAGCTATAACTCGCTAAAACTCATACATGCTCCTCGGTGGTTACTCATCACGTGTGGGAGGAATCAATTGGAGATATCAAAGGAGTCTCAAGAGGTGCATTTTTAGGACCAGTCATCTTCAACATTTTCATCCGTGACTTGGATAAAGGGCGGTGCAGAGAATGCTGATCAAATTTCTTGGAACGAGAAAGACATTGTGGACGCCCAACCCGGGATTCAATAGACATTCAGATTCAAAATGAGCCGAAAGTTGCACAAATACCTGGAAGGAGAGGAACATCTTGGCTTTGGACCAAAACTATGAGTGCTGGGCAGGCCTTCTTGGGGTGGGCATTCCACTAATGAGGACCCCACAACTGAAAAGGCCTGTTCTTTGCAGCTGTTTACAAGACTGAGCACATAGTAGTGGTATTTAAGGATGACTGTAGGAGATGACGGGGCTGAGCCAGAGGGAGGGGTCAAACATATTATCAGCCTTGAGTTCCTTTGCACCCACAAGAGATCTAGGACCAGCCTGCCTTGAATTCCCTTGATTTTTATCTGCTGCCAACTTGCTTTGATCGTTAGTAGTTCAGATTCTTGTAGAGAGCTTTAGCATACATTAAACTCAAAGATTCATCAGATCTACCTGGATCTTCTGATTTCCCTGGCTCTTGACGGTGGCCAGATATTAAAGCAAGGGCCTCCCTTGAGAAAAAACAAACTTTTCTTTAAAGACAAGAAAGAAGAAAGAAGAACCACATGACTTCAATAAATGGATAAGTTTGAACCTCTCGGGCCTTAGGACTCTTAACTCCTTTTCTTCAAGTCCTTCTTCTGGCTGGCTGCTTGGCTTTAGAGCTGCAGTGGGTCACGAGAGAGCAGCAATAACACTCCGGTCATATTTGGGGCCAGCCCTGATTGGAAGGGGTGAATCCCAAGCCTTTTCTCCTTGAAGCTCTTTTCCCATTATCTTTACGGGTGTTTGTCCAATCTTGTGTCTGGCAGCTGTCAGGGGGGCCATGAAATCGGATGACTTAGTGCCCTTTGCCTTCAAGCAAGAGGAAAACATTTAAATAATTAAATCTTCCATCTCGGAGCACCAGGGCAGTGACAGCGTGTCTGTAGAAATTAGGGACCTTGCTGGCTGGTGAGAAACCAGGCCACAAGGTGGTTGGGGAGGGTCAGGTAGAGGCGGTGGGAGGAAGCATCCAGAGCCTGATTGAAAGAGGTGCCTTTGAAGGAGTCCTTGCAGAAAGCAGGTTCACAAAACTGCTGTAAAGGTCAGGAGTTACTCCTCTGTCTCTTTTTTTTCCCCTTTCTTTTTTTCTTTTTCTTCTCTTGCCCTTTGAGCTTTTCCTTCCTTGACTTTGTTCGTCTTTTCTTTTTCTCCTTTTGTATTAGTTGGCATTAGTTTTTTAATCTTGTGTTTTAAAAAATCACTAATAAAATTAGAGAACGGATGCTATAAGAGCTTGGTGGAGGTAGCCAAAGGCCTTCCTTTGCCCTGAGAAGAACCTGGAGTTATTATATCCTTTCCTCTCTTCTTCCTTCCTGTCAAGGGAGAGAGAGAGAGATACATCTATCTCTCAGGGATAAAAATGGGCTAATTTTTACAACTGATTGCGAGTGGAGTCATGTGTAATTCAGAAAATCTTGCCCTGCTATGATCTACAACATACTGATCCATGTTGTTGTTGTTAGTTACAAAGTAGTGTCCGACTCATTGCGACCGCATGGACAACGTTCCTCCAGGCCTTCCTGTCCTCTACCATCTTCTGGAGTCCATTTAAGCCAGGGCTTTTCAACCAGTGGTATGGGTACCACCTGTGGTACATGGCCACCTGGCAGGTGGTACGCAATCATCCTAGAAAAGTGGTAGCGGGGGAGGGGAATGAGTCGAACTGGTGGCAGCACCGCACAAGCCTGAGCGAGAGATGGCTGGAGCTGCAGGGCTGTCAAGGCTCAGCGGAAGTGCCAGAATCAGCGTGAGGCTCCAACTGGAGCTCGGCGCTGATCCTGGTGCTTCTGCTAGAGGGTTGATCTCCTCTAGGACTGACCGCTTTGATCGCCTTGCAGTCCAAGGGACTCACAGGAGTCTTCTCCAGCACCATAGTTCAAATGCCTCAATTCTTTGGCGCTCAGCCTTTCTTATGGTCCAACTTTCACAGGCATACATTGCAACTGGGAGAAAACCATAGCCTTGACTATACGCACTTTTGTTGGGAGGGTGACGTCTCTGCTTTTTAGTATGCTGTCTAGATTTGCCATAGCTTTCCTCCCCAGGAGCACGCGTCTTTTAATTTCTGATCCATGATACAGCTGCTATAATTTGGGGAGCCCCTCTTAGTGCGTTGCACAAATGAAAATAACTGTGGCTGATTCAGTTATGGCTTACATAATTATTTCATAGTAGATCCTTCAAGAAACCATGATATCAAAGCATTTGAGGTGGAAAGCCAATCTCTTTGCTTTTTCTCTTCCTCTGGATTTTCTGTTCCTCACCCTTGCTTGCCCCAAAGGTGTGGTTTTCCCCCCCCAAAAAAAGAGAACCGGAGTTTCTTGGTTTTTTCCCCTTGGAAAACATTTCACATCTCATCCAAGAAGCTTCTTCAGTTCTATCTCAGAAGAAACTTCTTGAATGAGAAGCAAAATGTTTTCAAAGGAAAAAAACAAACAAGAAAGTCCGGTTGCTTTTTGAAAAAAGCATCGTTGGGACATCCACCTTGACCTGGATGGTTGAGAATCTCCCTAGTCCCGTGATGGTGAACCTTTTAGAGACCGAGTGCCCAAACTGCAACCCAAAACCCACTTATGCATCGTCGGGTGCCGGGTGGGTGTGGCCCATTGGGTGGGCGTGGCCCATTGGGTGGGCGTGGCTGCGGTGGTAACGGCAGACTGGGTGGGACTAAAAAGTTCAATCAATCAATTCCAACTTTGCAAGATCTTTTTTTTTCCCGCGAGAAGTTGAAATTGACTGATTGATTGAACCAGGTTTTTTTTGTACACGGCGGCAGAGGCCAAAAGCGAAAAGGTTTTATAAAACCCAGCTGAAGGCCTAGGACTGGGGCGACGGCGTGCGTGCCCACAGAGAGGTCTGTGAGTGCCGCCTCTGGCACCCGTGCCATAGGTTCACTACCACTGCCCTAGTCATTCACGCTTCTTCCTTCTGCCTCCCCTTCTCTGCAGCTGCTACATAGACCAACAGGTGACGCGTGTGGCTTGGCTGAACCGTTCCAACATCTTGTATGCTGGCAATGATAAGTGGTCCATTGACCTGCGGGTGCAGCTACTACATTACAGCCCCTCGGAGTTCAGCATCCTGATCAGCCACGTGGATGTGTACGATGAAGGACTCTACACATGTTCTTTCCAGACCCAGGACAAGCCTCACACCTCGCAGGTGTACCTCATCGTACATGGTATGGGCGCAGGGAAAGGAAGGGAGGGGGATGGAGCACCTCCAGGTGGCGTTGTGCACCAATCAGGCCACTCTGGTCTCGCCATGTTGAGAAGCTGAACTAGTTCATTTCTGTCCAGCGATGCTATCCATCAAATTGCAATGGGTGGACAGTCTTGTTTTTGAATGTTTCCTAGCAACGTTTTTATAAGGTCTTCTTCATGCAACAAGGGAGTTGTGATAGTTCTCATAGCCATCCCTTAGATATTTCCTGTGCACATATGGGAAGGATGTGGTACTTTCTCATTTTGCTAGAGCAGGGGTCTTCAAACTTGGCCCTTTTATGACTTGTGGACTTCAACTCCCAGAATTCCTCAGCCAGGCACTGACAAAAGGCAACTTGGCTTCTTCTCCTAGTACACAACTATGGAACTTGGGAGGATATTGCTAAATATCAACACCAGTTGAGAAAGAGGACGGCTGGAATAGCCATTTTCATGACACCACCATGGTGAGTTTCACACTTGGCAACTTTTAAGAATTGTGAACTTCAACTCCCAGAATTCACCAGCCAGAAGTTGCCAAGTTTGAAGACCCCTGTGCTAGAGTGATGCTGAGGCCATTTTTGATATTACGAGAGGAGCAGTAGCGTGAGAGAGGACATTTTTGGCAAGCTCTTAGGCGTCAGCCAGAGGAACACTGACTAACTCAGATAAGTTCTCAAGATTTCAAAGCTGGGGAGAGCAAAGAGGATGAGGGATTTGCTTCAAGCTGCTTTTTGAGAGATTGGGGAACTTCAAAACCTGGAAATGTTGTGTCCAGATAAGACTTTTATGGTGCAAATGTTCAGTTTCATTTCATGGAATTTTACTATCGACGGCAGAGAGAAGATCCCAAATTACATTGTCTCTCATATCTAACAGGGAATTCTGGGAGTGGAAGTTCCACAAATCTTAAAGTTGCCAACTTTGAAGACCCCTGTCCTCAGGTGTGATTCACACATCACAGGCTAAGCTCTCATATAGATCAACAAAACCAGTGCCTAGTGTGTCAAACTCCTCCCGTAAACTCTATGATGGCTTAACCCTGTGGCATAGCTCATCTGACTGGCCAATTCAAATGTTCCGGTTCCAACCTAGGCTAGTAAAAAGTGTTGTGTGAACCCAGTCAAAGGGTCTGTGTAGAAATAGCTCATCTCTATCTATAAATCTGTTCCCAAAAGAAGGGGGTGTGCAGTTTGGCCTCAGAGAGACAGAATTCTCTTCCCAGCTGTCAAAACCAGCTAAAAATTATTTCTTCTCTCTCTCTCTCTCTCTCTCTCTCTCTCTCTCTCTCTCTCTCTCTCTCTCTCTTTCTTCTTTTTCACTTTCTTCCCCAATTTCCAAGCGCCTCCGGCATTTCTGCCGTATTGGCAAAAGCCACAACGGCGGTGTTATGCACCCCATAATTATAGCCCCACACGTTCCGTTTTCTCATAGTTGCTGGAGCCGGGAAGCTGCTTACAATACGAGCTGATTGGGCTCAGTTCTGGGATGAGTAACCTGCAGATTAAGGAAACAGATGTTCCCCCATAGCTCTGCCATTGCAGAATCCACCCCAGTTTATCATGCAGACAATGGGGAACGTTAAGCCAAGTCTGGGAGGGGGAGAATGTATTTTTTTTTCATTGGGGGGGGCTTCTTCCGCTGCAACAGGGAAGGGAGCCAGAAGCCTCCCATGCTGAGATTTGCTGAGGAGGCAGTCCAAAAACAAGGTGGGGTAGTGATTTGTGAAATGTGGGGAATATAGTCGGACTCATATCTCCAGAATCTTTTTATGTTTTCTCTTGGGGGTTTCTATCTGCAGTGGTGGATGTTGGCCACGAGATGGCGGATGAGTTGGCTGAGGGAGATTTTTGGACTTCCCTTCATCAACCAAGTGCAAATCTTTAAATTTCCAACAGTAAAATCTCCTTTCATTCAAGTTCAACTGGCGATTCCCCATTTCTGGAGCAAGTGGCAATCGCGTCTAATTGCAGGACAAACGAAAGTGGAACTATATAGAGAGAATACATACAACTCCAGCTGAATTCAACCTCCAGTTGATTTTTAAAACCCAACCTTCTTTCTTCTCTCTAAGCCCATTTGGGTGCAGCTTAGGGTGTTAAATCCGTATGTATGTGTTTGTGTTGGGGACAGCACTACTGAACAGGCTGCCCCCCCCAAAAAAATCTAATTATAGTTATGGTTCAGACGTTCCTGCAGTTGTCTTGGTAGCATTTTCAGATGTGGTTTGCCTTCTTCTCCCAGGACTGAGAGAAAGAGAGAGAGGCACTGCTTCATAATCTCTCAGCTGGATTTGTGCCTAAAGCAGGACTAGAACTCCCAGTCTCCTAGCTTCTCAACCTTTGTTCCAATTGGGTCTCTAGTAAGGTGACCAACTTTTTTACAATGAAAAGGAGGACACAAATAAATTGAAGAAAAAAATATAGTAAAAGCTGGCCCGGCGAATGAAAGGTCAACCGCCTGCTGCACCCCCGCCTGCAGCTGCCCCACCAACACCACTGCCCTGCCGTGTAGAGCAGGCCCCGTGGCTCCCAAAGCACCAGCCGGGGCAGCCCGCCATCAACACACCCCGCCTGCAGCTGCCCTGCCAGCACCACCGCCCACACTGCGCAGCCCCGTGTAGAGAGGGCCCCGCGGCTCCCACTGCACGGAAGGCAGCCGGCCACTGCCGCCCCTCACACCCCTGCCCGCAGCACCCCCGCTGCCCCTGCCTCTTGTGCCCGCAGCCATTATTGCCCTAGCAGAGACGAAGATCAAGAGAAACTTACCGCTCCAGTCTCCTCCAGGTATCTTCGGAACTAACTAGGAGATGGTGTAGTTGGGTAGCAGGGAGGGGTGCAAAGTTCCTGCCAATTCGCCTTCGCTGCAGACAACTTGCATGTGCAAAGTTTGCCGGCCGGGTGTTTTGGCGGGCTCAGCAGCAATTCCTATTGGCTTTCGAAAGCCAATAGGGGGAATAGCATAGCTCATGTAAAAGTTGAAAAAAAAACCCATCAAAAAAAGGTGCCGGAACGTCGTTCTGAGCGTTCTATGAGGGGAAAAAAGCCCTGCAGATTAGTCTTCAAATATTGAAAAGGAGGACATGTAGAAGGACACTTTTCGAGGGAGGACAGAACTTACAAAAGGAGGACTGTCCTCCCTAAAGGAGGACGGCTGGTCACCTTATCGCTAGTGATCTCCAGTACCTCTTTACTTGTTCTCTTCTTTTGAACCCCCAGCTCGCCCTCCCTTTGTAGGCATCTTTTTCATGATGCTTGTCCCATATCAGCTCTTCCTTCTGTCTCCCAAGGCCAGCCTCCCATGCCATTATGCCACCTCTCTGTTTTAAACTCCACAGTTCCAGCTCGGATCGTGAACATTTCCTCAGCTGTGACGGTGAATGAAGGAAGCAATGTGAATTTGCTCTGCCTGGCAGTGGGGAAACCGGAACCGACGGTAATTTGGCGACAGCTGAAAGGTGAGAAAAAAAAACTGGAGGAGGTGCTGGCTCTCCATTGCAGGCCACTAATTACCAGCATAAATGAGAATGGATGGGTCAACATGCCAACCTTGGTTAAATGTAAATGAACCTATGTTCAGGGTTTTGCAGGATATCCTGAGTCAGGCACTGATTAAATGGACTGCGTTCATATGACAACTAACCCCCAATATCAAACTAAAATCAAAATAAACCAAGTTTAGCATTTGTATGACATCAGCTGCTCATTTTAAACTATCCAGATCGAGCATGTCTAGACACAGCTTGGGTGTCTGCACAGGGGTGTTGTTCACTGGATCCCAAAGCATCTTTTAAGCAAGTGGAATTTAGTCCTGGTTGCAGAAACCTGCATTTTTTTAAAAAAAAAACAATCTGTTTGCCTTGATCTCACCCTTTATTTCCCCATTTAAATAAATAAATGAAATTCCCCTTTTTAAGGCCGCAAAAAAATCAATTTGAAAAGCTGGGGGCAATATGTATAAAATCCCAGATCCTGGAAAGGGGGTAGGGTTGCCAGGTCTGCTTCCAAAAAATAGCGGACAAGCGGGGGGGGGGGTGTTAAGTAGTAAAAAAAGTAGACTGTACAGCTTTAGATTAGGTACCATTTCATCATAAAGCTTTTGAATAAAAAAAATGTCCACTATTTTGTGAAAAAAAATAGTGAACATAATGTGAAAAAAGCGGACTGTCCACTCAAATAGTGGACACCTGGCAACCCTAGAAGGGGGGGGGAAGTAGTGAGTTGGGCTGCGCAGACAATATTGTCGGGGAGTGAGATTTCACATGTCACAAATATCAACCCTCCTCCTGCACCCCATAATGAGCAGGAGACAATGCTATTTTATTTATCCGTTGGCCTGGCTTGTTCCTGCCGCAGAAAGCCGCCTTTTCATAGAGTGGAATTTTGCTTCATTCATAAAGGAGCACAGCTGCAGCCGAGCGACGCTGCTGAAGATTTGAATTGGAGTTTTGACATTTTCCGTGAAATGTTGTGAATGGGAGCGAACAAGGCGAGGCAGCGAGTGATGACATTCTAATAGGAACGCTGCATTTCTGACTCACCAGAAGATGGAGCCGTATTGGGAGAGCTTCTCTTCCTAACAGGGCATTGTGTTAGAGGCAGCTGACTATTTGGGGTTTTTGCATACACCAACAATTTAATCTATAGGTAATCTGAAAACTGGGTGGAGCGATGGCTCAGCGGTTAAAGACCCTGAGCTTGGAGAGCTGAAAGTCCCGGTTTGAGACCCGAGCTCCGCGCAGCAGGGTGAGCTCCCGTTTCCTGCTCCAGCTCCTGCCCGCCTAGCATGCAAATGCGAATAGATATATAGGTACCACTTTGCTGGGAAAGTAACAGGGTTCCACACGCCTTTGGCATATAGTCGGGGTCTTCAAGCTTGCCCCTTTTATGACTTGTGGACTTCAACTCCCAGAATTCCTCTGCCAGGCTGAGGAATTCTGGGAGTTGAAGTCCACAAGTCATAAAAGGGCCAAGTTTGAAGACCCCTGGCATATAGCCATGCTGGTCACATGACCCTGGAACTAAAGTCAGACACATCTGACAGGGAAATCTTTACCCTTAATCTTAAAACTAGTCAGGCAGTAGCTTTATCCTCTCCATCCCCTGCAGAATATGGCAATTTCTGGACAGTTATGGTGACTCTCCACTAGCTCTGAATTTGCTTTTTACGCTCTGATTATCTTGGCCTGGCACGTAAGTTTTTTCCTCCTACATTTTTTCAAAGACGTTTTTTGCAAATCCGTGCGTTCTTTGAGCTAAAATCACTTAGGGCAGGGGTAGGCAACCTCGGCTCTTTTATGACTCATGGACTTCAACTCCCAGAATTCCTGAGTCAGCATAGCTGACTCAGGAATTCTGGGAGTTGAAGTCCATGAGTCATAAAAGAGCCGAGGTTGCCTACCCCTGACTTAGGGGGTTGTTTGTGAGAATGCCTATTTTGGGCCTCTCCCTCTCCTCTGTCTGCCCTTTATGGCCCTACGTGGGGCAGCCCTGCAGGAGGAGGCCTTGATAATCGTGTTGTGTCATATGTGTTTTCTTGTGTGTAAGTCTGTTTGTGTCTGTCTCCCTGCCTGACTGGGCCTGACTCCGTTCCTGCCTCCCTCCTGCTCCCTCCCCACAGATGGATTCACCAGCGAAGGAGAATACCTGGAGATATCAGAGATCAACCGAGAACAAGCTGGGGAATACGAGTGCGTCACAGCAAACGGTGTTTTGACACCAGACAGCAAACACGTTCTTATCACAGTCAATTGTGAGGCGACTTTTCATTTCCTTTCTTTCTTTGCGTCTTCGCCTGTTTCTATTTTTATTTGCATCTGAAATTCCTGGGCCTGAGTAGGATGGTTTCAACAGAAAACCGATGATTGGTTGGGGAATCTAGGATTAAAGATCAACCTTTGCCTTGTGTTGTGTTCACACCTCGTGGTCTCACCAAACCTGGCAGCTACCTTTTCACTATCTGTATTTGTTGATTAGTTAACCTTAGTTACATTTATTCTATACTTTCTACTCTACTCTACTCTACTCTACTCTACTCTACTCTACTCTACTCTACTCTACTCTACTCTATTCTATTCTATATACTATTCTATTCTATTCAATATTCTATTCTATTCAACATTCTATTCCAGTGATGGCGAACTTTTTAGAGACCAAGTGCCCAAAAACTGGCCCCACCCCCACTCCACCCCCTGACCTGCCCCCACTCCGCCCGCACCCCGTCCCCTGCCCTGCCTGCCCGCAGGACCACTCACCGCCTGCAGGGCCCGCCGCAGATCAACCAGACAGCCCAGCAGCGCCATGGCAGCCACGCTCTCTGCCCACGCCCTGCAGCATCAACTGTGCGCGATAGGGCGTGAGGGCAGAGTCTTGTCTACACTGCCTGGCCGCCATGTCCTTTGCTGCGCTGCTCCACATGGGCCATGCTCGGGGGCGACTCTCCTCCAGGGGGGCTGCTGGTGAGGAGAGGGTCACAGGGGGAGGCGAGGCTGGGGCAACAGCACGTGTGCCCACAGAGAGGGCTCCGAGTGCCACCTCTGGCACGCGTGCCATAGGTTTGCCACCACTGTTCTATTCTATCCAAAATACTATCCAAAATACTATTCAAAATTCTATTCAAAATTCTATTCTATTCTATTCTATTCTATTCTATTCTATTCTATTCTATTCTATTCTATTCCATTCCATTCCATTCCATTCCATTCCATTCCATTCCACTCCACTCCACCTATTCTATTCTATTCTATTCTATTCTATTCTATTCTATTCTATTCTATTCTATTCTATTCTATTCCACCTTTATTACTTTATAAGTAAAGCAATGAGCATAACTAACAATCCCTTCATCCTCCTATTTTTTCTCACAACCACAACCCTGCACAGTGGGTTGACCTGAGAGAGACTGACTAGCCCAAAGTCATCTATCAGGGTTTCATGCCTTTAAGTGGGACTAGAACTCACTGTCTCCTGGCGATCGGCCCAAAGTCACCCAGCCAGCTTTCATTGTCTAAGGTGGAAGTAGAATCCCAGGTCTCCTGGTTTCTAAGCCAGCATCTTAAACTACTGCACCATTCCATCCGGTATTTTTTATTTTTTTAAATGATTTGGCGGTGTGAGAAGAAGGACGGATTTAGTTTTCTTCTTTCTTCCTTGGAATGAACTGAACTACAGGGGATTGTGGGAGAAGTTATTTTTTAAGTTAGAAAGATCACTGAATCTAAATGGGGGGAGTTAGGGATCCTTCTCTAGCCCCTTCAGAAGGTCTGTACTTGAAGGGTTGCAGGAGATGCCTACAGAGAGAGAGGCTGTCCCAGTTGACCTCCAATCCGTTTCTCCATCCATTGCTGTCTTTTCCCAGATCCTCCAATCATCACAGATGTAAAGGACTCCCGTCCCTTGGTAGGAAAGACAGCCCTCTTGCGCTGTGAAGCCATGGCAGTGCCCGCTGCGGACTTTCAGTGGTTCAAAGATGACAAGCAGTAAGTCTGTGTTTTCCCATCTCCTTCAGCATCGTTCATGAGCAGAAACAATCTTGCTCTGCCAACGTTTTAGAGCAGAGTTTTTTCAGATGTCTTCAGTTCCTAGAGCAGGGCTTTTCAACCTTTTCACCCATTGTACCACTTTTAGGATATGGCAACATCCGAGTCCCACCAGTCGCCTAGCAAGGTGTCAAAAACTTGATGACCAAAAAAAAAAAAAGAAAGGAAAAAAGTGATAAAGTACAGGTAGTCCTCGACTTACAACAGTTCGCTTAGTGACTGTTTGAAGTTACAAGGGCACTGAAAAAAGTGCCCCCCCCCCCAAGGCACAGCCGAGCAAGACACCTGCCTGCCCACCCGGCCACGCTCTTCCTCCTGTCTGAGATTTTCATTGTTGTGAGCATTTCTGTTGGGGATTGGCAGCGGGGCTGGGGTGGGAGGGTGTTTGATTTTTATTCCCCCCGTCTGCTGGGTGGTTGCAGCAGGTTTTGGTCACTTCACATGACCGTGAAACACTGTGACCATCATAAATATGAATCAGTTGCCAAGCATCTGAATATAAATCACAAGACCCTGGAGATGCTGCAACATTCCAGCTGATCGGCGCTTCTTCTGGGCTCAGCAGAAGCACCAGGATCAGCACTGAGCTCCAGTGTTGATCCTGGCGCTTCCACTGAGCCCTGACAGCCCCGAAGAAGTGCCGATCAGCTGGAAAGCGGCACTGATCCTGGCGCTTCCGCTGAGCCCTGACAGTCCTGCAGCTCCAGCCGTCTCTCGCTCAGGCTTGTGCGGTGCTGCCACCGGTTCAGCTCATTCCCCTCCCCTGCTACCATTTTTCTAGGATGGTCATGTACCACCTGCCAGGTGCCAATGTACCACAGGTGGTACCCGTACCACTGGTTGAAAAGCCCTGTCCTAGAGTACCTTTGGATAGATTGGGTAGAAGTGCTGAAATTGAAATGCCAAAATATCTCGGAAGGACACTTGGAGAACTCTTGTTTTAGACAGGCCTCAGCCCATTGGTTTTTTTCCTGGAAAGGACAGTAACGTTGGGATCCATGAGATAGGGAGCCTTACAAGCTCATTCCATGAAATGGAATATACATCTTAGTGTGCCTCAACGGTTCTTGCTTGTTGTCCTTTATGTGGAGTTTTGTTGTATTTCATTTTATCTTTTATTGTGCCCTGCCTGGTGTTGCATTTGGGAGTTGGATGGTCATATAAATCCAGTGAATAGATACATACAGTATATGCTCACTTTTTCCTTAGATTGAAGGAGAACTCTTTAAAATTGGAAGAGAACTTTACAATAGTGGGCAAAATTGTGGAAACCTTTTGGGAAAAGTGTACAGTAGAAATGCCACCTTTGGTTAAGTTTCCACCCATTTTTTCTTCTAATTTCTTTATAACTGTAGCCTTAATAATACTTAATAATACTCTTTTACATCGCTTTCTGGGCAACCAGTCAACTCTTTGCACCATTACTTTAATTTTATTATGTTTTACAAGCTCACTAAATGAAAGAACACAAAAAACCCCGACCAACTTGATAGCAATCACATCACACACTGACAAATGTCCTCCTCTCAGCTTCAATACATGACATCAATAACTGAATCCTACTGTGATCTGATTAGCTCATTGCCAAAACAAGACGACACCCGATTGGCTCTCTAAACACTCATGCTCATTGGCTACAATCAGATGAAGGACAGCTACCTGAGATCAACCTGAGCAAGTTGTGCTTCCTTTTTCTGGTTATTTGGCTATAACTTTTCATAGAATACAGTACAGATAATTGAACCAACTATGTTGCATTACGTTCTTGATTAAATTATCTTTCCATTCCTGCCTGAGCAGGGGGTTGGACTAGATGACCTCCAAGGTCCCTTCCAACTATTAACATTTAACATTTATTTGATTTATACCCCGCCCTTCTCCCGGAGGACTCATGGCGGCTTACAGTCAGTTAAAACAATTCAACAATACAAAATATAAATACTAAAATAAAATTAAAAATAAATATTCGAATTTGGCTGCACTGCTAAAATTTGATTAAAACCAATTAAAATACCAATTAAAATACCCCTAGGCCAGACCTGCCTGCTGAAATAACCAGGTCTTGAGGGCGCGGCGGAAGGAGGGGAGATCCGGAATCACCCGGATCTCTGGGGGCAGCTCGTTCCAGAGGGTTGGCGCTCCGACAGAGAAGGCTCTCCCCCTGGGGGTCGCCAACCGGCACTGTCTGGTTGGCGGCACCCTGAGGAGGCCCTCTCTGTGGGAGCGTATCGGCCGGTGGGAGGTAATCTGTGGCAGAAGGCGGTCTCGGAGGTATTATTATTATTATTATTATTATTATTATTATTATTATTATTATTATTATTATTATTATTATTATTATATAATTTTATGGTACTACTCCTCAAAAAAGTGGTGTTATTAGCCATTAAAATCTCAAAAATACACTTTTCCCAAAATGTTTCCACAATTTTGGCCACTACTGTGTATCTTTGCACTAATTCAAGCAAAGGATCTATAGCAGGGCTGCCCAAACTTGGCAACTTTAAAACTTGTGAACTTCAATATGGCTGGCTGGGGAATTCTGGGACTTGAAGTTGACAAGTCTTAAAGTTTCCAGGTTCGGACACCCCTGATTGATAGCTACCTGTTGAAGATGCTTTAATTTGGATTACAAAAGAAAGCAGTCCTTCAGATCATCTGGCCTCAAGCCCTCCAGGGTTTTTTCAACTTAATCTGAGTGTTCTGAATTGGGCTCAGAAACCAGATGGAAATCCATGCAGTTAGTGAAGTAGTAGCTTAAGAAATGATCGGATAGTCTAGTACAGTGATGGCGAACCTTTTAGAGACCGAGTGCCCCAAAACTGGCCCCGCCCCCGCTCCACCCTCTGCCCCGCCCCCAGCCCGCCCCAACTCGTCTGCCCGCAGGGCCACTCACCGCCTCCAGAGCCTGCCGCAGATCGCCCAGGCAGCCCAGTAGTGCCATGGCAGCCATGCCCTCTCCCCGTGCCCTGCAGTATCAACTGTGCATGATGGGGCATGAGGGCAGAGTCTTGTCTACGCTGCCTGGCTGCCATGTCCTTGGCTACGCTGCTCCGTGTGGGCCACGCTTGGGGGCGACTCTCCTCCAAGGGGGCTGCTGGTGAGGGGATTGCGGGAGGAGGCAAGGCTGGTGCAACAGCACATGTGCCCACAGAGAGGGCTCCAAGTGCCACCTCTGGCACCAATGCCATAGCTTCGCCACCACTGGTCTAGTATAATAGATGTGGAAATAGTCTGGTGCAGAAGACAGATAAATAGCGCAGGGCGAGCGATCTGTCTGTGCGGCCAGGCTATGTGTGTCTCATTAGTTAAACAACATTCCATGCTTCTTCCCTTCTGAATTGCAGTCGTATTAAACAATCTTGTGGCACGTAGTCATGGATCTTTCGTGCAGATTAATTTGTGATCCATCGAGCAGAATGTGATGCCTCAGTCGTGTGTGTGGTACCCTATCCCTCGGACAAGGCGGGAGCCTGCATGGGGGAGGTGATAAACCTCCCATGTTGGCTGCCTGCCTGGGATTGCAATGGCAAAGGGCGTGTGAGCACCTGGCAAGCCCCAAACAATGACTAAGCTCAGCTTGGAGGGGGTGGGAAAGCGGCTGCCACAAGGTGGAGGGGAGATCTATGGCTTTTTCGGTTGCCGCATTTTGCTAAACACTCTTGATTGTTCCTGGACAATTATTTCTGTAATCCTGGCAGCCACGACATACCAGTCAAAGTATGTTGCACCAAAGCTTCCATCACCCTTACTTAGATTAGCAAGCCTCTGGAGATGAAGACATTCTAGGCCAGACATGTCAAACACAAGGCCCAGGGGCCGGATGCGGCCCGCGAAGTGGTTTCATGTGGCCCGCGAAGCCATCCTGGAAACAGTGACGGAACGGCCCCCGCTGCCTTGGCCCTGGCCCAGGCCGGCCGAGAGCCAATGTACAATTTTGTGATGGCCATCTTGGCACTTGCCCCGGTGGACCATGCCTTGGCACTTGCCCCGGTCCCACCCCCTTCTTCCAGAGACCCTCAGATCTGTCCCACTCCTGCCCAGGCCCCCACAGGCACCCTTGACGCGAATGATGTAGAACTGGCCACGTCCACCCATTAGGCCACACCCACTCCATCCATGCCCACCCAGTAGGCTGCACCCACTCTGGCCACACACACACACCCCCAGGGCAACCGCAATGCTGATGCGGCCCTCAGTGAAATTGAGTTTGACACCCCTGTTCTAGGTCCATAAATCGGGAGGGCAGCTCTGAAGGCCATAACATTCTGAAGTTGATTCATTTATTTATAGCCTGCCTTTTATTATTTTTACAAATAACGCAGGGTGTCAGACATATTCAACACACCTTCCTCTTCTATTTTCCCCACAACAATCCAGTGGGGTAAATTGGGTTAGAGAGAGAGTGATTGGTCCAAGCTTTCATGCCTAAGGCAAGATTAGAATTCACCATCTCCTGGTGATTGGTCCAAAATCACTCAGCTGGCTTTCATGCCTAAGACGGGACTAGAATTCACTGTCTCCTGGTGATTGGTCCAAAGTCATCCAGCCAGCTTTCATACCTAAGGCAGGACTAGAACTTACCATCTCCTGGTGATTGGTCCAAAGTCATTCAGCCAGCTTTCATACCTCAGGCAGGACTAGAATTCACCATCTCCTGGTGATTGGCCCAGAATCACTCAGCTGCCTTTCATGCCTAAGAGAAGACTAGAATTCACTGTCTCCTGGTGATTGGCCCAAAGTCATCCAGCCAGCTTTCATACCTAAGGCAAGACTAGAATTCACCATCTCCTGGTGATTGGCCCAGAATCACTCAGCTGCCTTTCATGCCTAAGAGAAGACTAGAATTCACTGTCTCCTGGTGATTGGCCCAAAGTCATCCAGCCAGTTTGCATGCCTAGAACTCACAGTCTCCAGCTTTCTAGCCTGGTACCCTAACC